AGTGTTCCCGTGATCCTGACAAACTGCAGGGGACGGAACCAAATCTCTGGTAACATTACTGCTCTTCAAAAAGCCATTATAAAACTAACTAAAGATGATGATATAAAGAATGGCGTCAAAGTAATGATTGTAGGTATGCCCAATGTTGGTAAGTCTTCATTGATAAACGCACTAAGGAGACTCTCCCCTGGTATTGGTAGCCCCAAAGCAGCTCCCATTAGTTCCAGGCCGGGATATACTAAGACTGTCAGTACTTTTATAAAGATCAGTACCGACCCACTCATAAAACTGTTGGATACTCCAGGCATAATGATACCGAATATTAAAGATGAGGAAATGGCTCTTAAACTAGCAGCTGTAGGTAGGCACCCCCACTAGCATTATTTGTTAATATTAAGTTGTGTAAAAATGGCAAATTCTCTCCTTTTCAATTTTGGCCCTAGACCATGTACTATATAGTACAGGGACCTTGGCCTGATTTGGAGCAACTTCAAAACTGATAAGAAGCTGGGAACTATGCCAAAATCCTGTGTGAAATCATGGCCTAGCTTTATTTGTTTATCTATTTTCCATAGGAACATTAGATCATCGATTTGTTGGTGAAGTCAATATAGCTGCGTACATTCTGAAGACGTTAAATGAACAAAAATTGTATCAATACATCAAGAAATATAACCTTGAAGGACCTTGCCATGACACTGATGAACTACTGCACAATGTAGGACAGAGAATAGGAGCTTTATTGAAAGGAGGTTTTGTTGATGAAGGAAGATCAGCAACTCACTTCATCAAGAACTTCAGAGAAGGACAGTTTGGACGAATAATGCTTGACAGTATCAGTGAGGTTGAGAATTAACGATTTATTAATTATTATTATATTATTGACATAAAACAATAATTTGATTACTAAAGATCATCATCACTAGATTCACCCTCACCACCTCCTCCACCCTCCTCTCTCTCTGTCACTCCCTGAGCTGCTAATTCAGCGAGTACATTATCAAGATAGTTCTCATCTGGGTAGCCATGACCACTGTGGTTTGAAGTAGACTCGGTTTTGTGATGTATTTCATTCCACACAATAGTGTTAGTAGCACCAGTTGTAACTGAAGTACCTATCGTGAATGTAAGACGTCTCTCCCATGCTACTCTTAATAGCTGTAAAACCTTTAAAAATAAAAAAAATAATAATAATAGAAATAATAAATAAATAAATTGAATACTTTTTGTCCTTTGGTTGAATCAGGAAGATAACAAGTTCGTGGAAAACCATTTGCTCTGTAGTGGACTCCATTCTATGAAAGACAGTACATGATGAAGTGATTGAGAAGTAGCCACTAGTTATAACTTTACTTGAACTCCTGGTTGAAAGCTGTAGACAATCTCAATGGTACCACATCTAGGATGTCCAGGTAAAGAGTATCGCTTCTTTGATACAGTCATAGTACCAGTGGAAGGCATGTCTCCTCTCTTGACACCATGGATAACCTTACATGTAGGACATCTTAAACAACCCTAACAGAAGTAGATTAATAGATAAGGATCATCTCTCTCTCCATTACTTTAGCATCAGTTGAGTTCTTTGAGTAAGTGATCAAACACGATCTGTGCAGCATATGTCCGCATTTTCTTAATTTGCAAACATCACAAGATGATGTTGAGGAAGGAGAGGGTGTACTATCATCTTCAAATCCCGACTCTTCATTCAAATTGTTCATACATATTGGACAAGGCTAGAGAGAGAGAGAGAGAAAGAGTTACTAAAGTGTCTTATCATTAGAAGTGTCATACTCCATTTTCTCCAAAATTAAGAGAAGTTACTCTTTTAACGAATTCCTTTAACGGGCCCAGTGGAGTCAACAGAGTGTCATCTAAAATAATGCACTGATAATATTGACTCTACTCTCACACACTTTCCCTGTTTATTAATTGTATATACCTGTTACTTGGATTTTTCTTAATTTGCTTCTTGTTTCTACATGACAGCTGCTAACGGCTCCAGATTTATAAGCCAGAGTCTCTCTGTGTCCTAAAGGTTTTCCAGTCGAAGAGGAGGGATGGACAGTTGGTGCACAGCTGCTGCTGCTGCTAGCAGTGATCATGGGACTACTGCTCTTCTTTTTTGATTTCGTTGATGAAGAAGAACCTCTCGTTGAAGTTTTAGAACTTGCAATCACAGTAGCAGCTGGAGATACATAACTAACAGTCGGTAGTACGGAGTGTTTTGATTGGTCTATCAAGTAACTTTGAAGTGAATAAGATAAAGGTATTCTTCTTATATTTCTCTCAGTACCGTAACCATGACGACGCTGCACTTGTCTCTTTAAATCGATATAATATGGTATGTTAGAGGCACACTTTGCTAAATCAATTGACGGGAACCTTTTGGTATGAGCTAGTTCAATATCCACACTAGCAGCAACAGCATATGGTAAGAAGACGCCATGACCACTGTCCCATTCCCAGTAGCCTTTGATATCAGGGGAAGGAGGGAGGTAGAGAAGCTCACGTCTTACTAATAAAATAAAATCAATAATAGTGTACATGTTGGGAGCCATTTTCTTTGGCGATTTCTCCAGAAAATGCAATTGGCGGTACTTAAAATGAAGGCAGGTGCATAAGAATGAAACAAAATGGTGGATTTTAGATTAACATTTTACTGTATAGCTCCACCCTTATATGGTAGTGCACCTTACACATTAACATACAATCCTACATGTCTTAGTAACATATATATATATAATACTCGATATACATACACATTATTTATATTATTCCTTTCTCTTACTGTCATATCTTCTTCTGGTTCTGGTATAAGTGAATCGTGTTAAGTTCACTGTTTCTCCAGCTGTTGGTAGAGTGTAGGTTGGTTTCTTGAGCTGGTATTCTCTCTCTATGTTGTAAGAGATGTCTGGAGGGAAAGGTATGGAGATATTTAGACCATTAACCCAAATCCACACTACATGATGAGTGGAGCTGGGGTGGCCATAGCCATAAATGGGTGGGGCTGTGAGCAGGGATAAGTTACAGCCCCGCGCGATTGAGCGCGGAATTTGCAAAGTAGGCACAGCAACCAGTTATGTCTGATAGAGTGTCAGTTGTCCGAAAACATACCGATGACTTCTTGAAAGGGCTCTATGATGAGACAAAGACTCCTCGTTTCTTGGAGAGAAGAGCTAGAGCTATAGTTAAGTATCTAGTGGAACATGAGGAAGAAGAGTCTGATGCATCTGATCTTGAACTAGAAACTGACACTGATGAAAGAGAGTATGGTGAACAAAGTGCATCTGATCATGAACTAGAAACTGGTGAACAAGTATCTCATGAACAAGTAGATCTATCAGCAGATGAACAAAAATCTGTTGAACAAAATTCTGATGAACAAAAATCTGATGGGCAAGTAGAAAGCTTTTTTCACCGTTCTTTTGAAGACTTGCTTGACCCATATTCATCGTCAGTCCGGGATTACTTAATGAAAGAAACGGAATATGCATATATTGATTCGGTCCCTGAATGGACGGTGCAATTAGAGACTGAAAATGAATCGGTACAAGCACCCTCTGTACAAGCACCCTCAGGACTAGTACCCTCAGGACAAGTACCCTCGGTACAAGCACCCTCGGTACAAACACCCTCAGGACAAGTATCCTCGGTACAAGCACCCTCAGTACAAACACCCTTGGTACAAGCACTCTCTGGACAAGCACCCTCAGTACAAGGGACTGAAAATGAATCGGTACAAGACACTGAGAGTGAATCTGAACAAGAAACGGTTATATCTAGCTTGAAACATAATATTATTTTCAAAGCAAAATATTCCACACGGCGACAGAGCTTGATTACTACTACTTTAGAGGATCTTGCTAGTTATATGAAACAACTATTATTCATCATTGATTTGCTCACAGCTTCTGCAGAATTCCGCCAGTCCTATGTAAGGCTAACCTTACTATTTGAAGAAATATTAGAGGCTGTTGCTGCTGCTTCTACTTCTGCAGAAGCACATCAATCAATTACTACTGATTTTGAGCCGGCTTTACTACACCCACCTATTGCTTCTCATTACAAAACTCTCCAATCCCATGCTGATGTCAAGCAACCAGACCAGTTCTTTCAGCCTGCTGATGTCAAGCAACCAGACCAGTTCTTTCAGCCTGCTGATGTCAAGCTAAAAAAGCCACCAGAGAAGTTCCGCTTTCAGCCTGCTTATCACGAATTTTCCAAAATACTTCAAAATACAATAGATTGTAATCAATGTGCAATTGACCAGCTCTCTTTTCTGAACACAGCCCCTGATGATGGAGATCATGATGCACCAAAAGGAGCCCTCAAGAAGTTATTTGTGAGTCAGCCTACCTTTCCGGTTGGTCGGACATTTGATCCAATCATAGATGACCAAACAATTGAGGATTGTCCTTGCACTGATTTTTCTGGTATACCTACAGGAACACCAGGATTATCAGAGGATTCCTCCTCTATTTCCAGCACTCAAACTTCATATGCTGCTAATTGCCATCCTTCTTCCCCGCATCAAGTGGTTGAAGGGATTTCAAGTTCAGATGAAGCTCCAGCTAAACATTCCTATGTACCATTTAATGAATCTCAGCTTTACACTAGTCTTGTAAAGTCTGGAAGTTCTACCTCTTCAAGTGAAGCAGAAAGTAATAATTTTTATTACTGCCCTCAACAAATATCTGGAGCTTTTCATAAAATGGCATGACTTTAAATTCAATAAGTATTGCAAAGATCATGCAGGTACACAGCACTTGTGTTGGCACAGAACATGAATATCGCATTCAAAAGTATTCATAAGGATGATCTTGCATCATTACATGATTGCAGTGCTTACTATAACTTTCCGATTTCTATAATTTGAATCACCTTCTGTTGAACTGGGTCATATGAATAGAATACATCAAAAATGACGATGCAATTTTGGCAATTGTGTAGTGCTTTCTCAATCAATAACAGCACAATATTGCTGTGAAAATGATGCCGGATTTTAGTGAATTGTAAAGATATTCTTTTGCAGAAATTCTAAGTGCACACACATGTATTGCCCATAGTAGTTAGTTAATTACTTAGTTAAGTGAATTGATTGATTGATATAAAATTGTAATTAAACATATTCTTCGTCGTCCGTGTCATAATCATCAGCTCCGCCCCCTTCATAATTATCATTATCGTAATAACCAGATGAATCACCAAAGAACTCTAATTCGTCTAAAGAAGAGCATTAACTAATGCACTGATTAACATTATGTAGCATTAATATACCGTAATAAGGTTCCCTGTGCCTGTACTGGGAATGATGAATGTTATCAGAATCAACCGAAGAATTAGAGCAGGCACTGCTGCTCTCACTATCTTCTTCATCAGGATAATCATTACGCCAATTGGACTCGTCTAATCAACAGAAAGACACTAATCATTGTCTCCATTTAAATATTAAAATGTTGTTTGTTTGTTTGTTTGTGTTTACCGTTTGAGTCGTCTTCATCTTCAAACTTGTCATCATCAGATTCAAAGATGTCGTGAATTAATATTGATGAATGAGAATATACTGACAGTGTCGACCAATCACTGAAGAGATAAAAGGACAGAGATACAGGTACTCTTATTATTAATATAACCTTACAATGAGCTCACTGCCTCCATATTGCAATGTCGTGACATATAAACATCATACACATAATCACCATCATCATCATTATCTAATAAATTAATAATATTAATAATAATGATAGGCCACACCCATTATACCGTCGGTTGTTATTTTTTCTCTTGTCAATACAGTTGAGTTACAAGTAATGTCTCCTATATCTTCTACACTAGCAGCTGCTTCAGGAGTACTTATTCCCTCCATTTTTGAGCCATTTTCTTCCTTTACCCTATAAATATGATCATAACTATTTTTATTAATAATTAATAATGTCAGGGCATTCATTGAGAGTATACAGTATTGATACACTCAACTTTACCCTTTCAAAAATTTGCTGTATTATATAATTGAGCACATGGTCTTCTTGCTATACAACAGTTTTTACAGTCTTTATAAAGGGCACTTTTAGTAAAGGCTATTGTGGGTTGTACTTGATTATATTCATTATTCATTTACAATTAGAAATCAGTTTATTATGTTAAGTGGGTGTTAATTTTAAAATGACTACTTGTCTTGAAAGACAAGGTATCCTGAGGGGAAGGAACGAGAATGTTGGATCAGGCTCCTGTTACTCTGTAAAGATATGACATAGCTGCATATACTTTGATTGAGTGTCTTGGTCCATGACAACTTCATAAAGATGGAGTGGTCTGTCTCCCTCACTCACTTTCTCTTCATTCCTGCTGTCACTTAAACAGCGTCTTGATGATAGCAGTTTAAACCGATTAGCAGCTGAAGACTTCTATAATTGCAAAATTATGAGTGAATGACAGTCTAAATTTTGAATGTGACGTTCCAATTATGAATTTAATACCTTTTTCTCAACTTTTGCTTGCTCTTTACTGTCAGAAATGGTCAGTTTATGAAACGGGCTGATTTTAGAATTGATTGGTCTTTTTTTATTGAATTTACTAACAATATCCTAATAGTAAAACTGCAATAATAATTAATCTTGTTTTAGAATAATACTTACCAATAATGGTTTATCGCTTTTAGTACTTTCCTTCTCTATATCTCCATTGTAAGTACCACACCAATGGAACACACCACCTAATCATTAATTAGAAAACAATATTAACAATAAATTCATTTTCATACTATTTTCTAAACTGTTAGAAGCCTCTTCGGTCTGTTCCAGTTTCATACTCTTACTAGCAACTACTAGAGCATCAGGTGGTCCATCTTCTGCACTGGTTCTCTTTCTCTTAACTCTGAGAACAACAGAAACGTACTCCAAACTATCCTGCTGTGCTGTCGCCATCTTTAATTAATAGGAGTAGTCGTGGGCGGAGCAGCAAGTGAAATTAACCACGCCCCTTTCACTACTCACAAGCTTGTCCTATTTCTCTTCATTTCTTTAGCTTTCTACAACTTTTAAAACCTTCCAGAGTCTCATGGATGACTGGAGCGTCCCTGAGAGCGACGGAGAAGGCGAGCACACACTCCTCCCGCCTCCTCCCTCGAATCTGCTGGAGCTGCTTCACGTGCTAATGAAGGATAAGTCTTTAGAGCTGGACTGCTGTGGAAAGAATGAAGAAAATGAAGAAGGAGAGAGTACCAAGGGAAGAAAGAGGAAGAGAAAAAAGAAACATGAAACTCAAGAAGACTCAAACGTGACTGCAGCTCCTCCCCAAGGTACCCAACTTGAGACTCGAATGGACATATTAAGTGAAAGTACTCAGTCCTCCGAAATAAGGAGCACCCGCACAGCATCAACCAGCGAATGTAGGGACTCAAGAAGGTAGGTGGTGACCACACCCATAGACACACCCACAAGATTGCCTGATTATTAATTAAATACTTGTATTGTTAATTAGTAGCCAAACTATTTCATTACTTTCTAGACCCACCCTATCTGCTTTTGATTATCAACATGAAGATTTCGGTCCAATTGAGCTGAAAGCTAACAGAGGAAGAAAGTGTCTACCTGGTAAATAAGGCAATCAATATGTGATTGATTATTATTTATTAAAAGGTTTGAACAAGAAGGCTGTGACGCTACAGGACATTGAAGCAACTTTGAGAAAGGAGGACGTGAGATGGAGGGAGGAGGAGGAGGGAGTGTCACGTTACCATAGCAACAACCAGGAGGAGTATGGTTTAAGAGGGGGAGGGGCCAAAGGTTCTGTCACTGTTAATGGAGGAGGAAGCAGATTAGAATTGAATGAGAAAAGAGAAGAAAAATTCACTCAAGAGGGAGACAGTGATGATTCATCATTATTGTAAGATGGAGGAAAAGATATTAATGCATTTCTATTTTAAGAAAGCACCAAAATTCTGAAAAATACCCAAGGCCATGGTTTTTTAAAAAAATGACTCCGAAATCACCCCAAATTTTTATTAGATTTTCTGATGCATATTGATGTCCTTATGCTGTGTAGAAAGTTTAAGCTTATTTCGACTTCAATTCTTCAAGTTACAGCCATTTTAAGAAAATGCCGAAATTCTGAAAATACCCAAGGCTATAGTCCATGGTTTTTTTGAAAAAATGGCTCTGAAATCACCCCAATTTTTTATTACATTTTCTGATACATATTGATGCCCTTATGCTGTGTACAAAGTTTGAGTTGAGTTTAACTAATTTTATTTGAGTTATGACCATTTTAAAAATTGTCACAGATTTTGTGACAATGGAATGAATGGGTTTCTTCTGATACATTATTACAGCTGTACTGTATGTATGGGAGTTATAAATAATAATAATGATTATTATTATTATTGTTGTTTTTTTTATATTTAGTGATGACGTTGACCTCTCATTTAATTCTCAAGACATTAATATGAAACTCAGTCGAATCGGTAAACCAAATTCTTTTGATTCTATTAATTAATTTTTATCTATTTTACAGAGCAGCTGCTCGATAACGACTGATAATATATCATTATAACTTGACATCACCATCTACTTTCAATTAATAATTTTTTACACTCTTGCCAACACATTTTTTATCAATATTAAAATTATACTAATTATTAATAACTAACCCCGCCCACATTAAAAATTATTTAATTTGTAAAACTATTATCATAAATGAATCAAAGATGTGACATTATTTTACAAGCTATGGCTGGAGTACATTATTTGTGCAAAAATGGTGACCATGTTCCCTGTATCGAAGGGTTATCGGTGTGCCAAGGTTTCTTTAATTTCTGTGTCTTTATTCCGGAGGAGGAACAGACAAGATGGACGTGCCACTGAATCTCACTGGGGTCCATGTTCTTTAGTGACACTATTTGGCTGTTACCGTTCACTAGATGAGTATTATTACAATAAATGGATGGATGGACAGATGGATAAATGACTGTGGGCTCACAGTATTCTGCCACTAGCCGAGGATGACGATACTTTCTTGGACGGACATAGAAAGCTACTTCAGGGTGGTTTTTGGCAAGTTGGATCACGTGAGAATTTAAATAATCTCTAAAAAACGCTGATAATAAAGCACAAGGGGCTGCAGACATACCTAGTTCCTTTACTGCTCCCTCCCTTCCCGCAATAGTTAAAAGTGAGTCTCTTTAACGGACGAATATATCTAGAAATCCCATTACACATGGGAGCAATGCTGGACGCCATTTTAACACGTTTTGTCACGTGACCACAAGTCACCGTCATTGTGGGCGGGGCTAATTAAAAATCAATAATGGCGTCACCTGGTCAGCAATCTGGAGAAAGGAGACAAGAAAAGATGGAGGTCCATCAAATACAAACAGAAAAGAAGCCCCAGGAGACACAAAAGCCTCAAAACAGCCAAACACTGGATAACCAGAGGCTGGGGGTTGAGGAGAAGAGTATCCCGGGGACATCAGAAATGATTCTAGTTAGATCAAGCAACTCGCCAAAACCCAGCACTGGCACTTCAGATAAACGAGTGTACACGATAAAGCACAGGAGCATGTCAGTCAAGTTTGAGTGTGACTCTCGCTACACTCCATTGGAGAGCATTGGTACAGGAGCCTATGGAGTAGTCTGTGCTGCCAAAGACAACAGAACCGGTCGCAAGGTAGCCATCAAAAAGATACCAAGAGCCTTTGATGAAGTAGTGACCGCTAAAAGGACTTACCGTGAGCTCAAGATCTTGCGCCATTTGAGGCACGAAAACGTGATATCAATACTTGATGTTATGGAACCGCCGGAGAATGAAAGCAGTCTTCAAGACGTGTACGTGATACTAGACCTCATGGAGACGGACTTGCATCACATCATCCACTCGGTCCAGCCTCTTAGTGACGACCACATTAAATACTTTTTGTACCAAATAGGACGAGGATTGAAGTACATTCATTCCGCTAATATAATCCACCGAGACCTGAAACCCAGTAACCTTCTCATCAATAGAAACTGCGAGTTGAAGATTGGGGATTTTGGAATGGCCCGGGGACTCTCCTCTACTCCAGAGGATCATGCCCTCTTTTTAACGGAATACGTAGCTACCAGGTGGTACAGGGCTCCGGAACTAATGCTCTCCTTTAGTCAGTACGATATATCACTGGACATGTGGTCTGTTGGGTGTATATTTGCTGAGATGCTGGGTAGACGACAGATATTCCCTGGGAAGAACTACGTGAACCAGTTGCAGCTGGTTCTTAGTGTAGTGGGTACTCCGTCTGATGAGTATATTAATAATATCGGGTCTGAACGTGTCAAGACTTATCTTAAGTCTCTTCCAAAGAAGCAACCTGTGGATTTATTTGTTCTGTTTCCAAAAGCTAATAAAGTAGCGCTGGAATTATTGGAGAAGTTGTTGCAGCTGGACCCAAGAAAGAGGTACATTGCTATTGAGATATTGGGACATCCTTACCTCTCCCTGTATCACGATATAACTGATGAACCTATTTGTACCCCTCCCTTTGACTTCACCTTTGAAAAGACTCTAGACACAAAAGTAAAGCCAATTTGTAAAGTACATGTAGCCATGTACCACTATTAATGTACTAATAGTGTACTAATAGTGTACTAATAGTGTACTGATAGTGTACCACTATTAATGCTTGTATAATTGTAATGGGTGGGCTAATAATTTTAAAGTTTTTGTTAATTTAACTGCTACTTTAGCTTAGCGTTTTAAAGATTCTTTAATTGCTAAATTTAATAAAATTATGCCAAGTGTGCATGTACATGTACATGAATGTATAGGTTTCATTTTGTTTGCAATTTATATTGTTTATTTTAAAACTGAAAGTACTGTCATTTTGGAAGCATAATATGCATTTTATACATGTATTTACAACTAATTAATATTCATTATTATTGTTATTATTATTATTATTTATTATTATTATTATTATTATTATTATTATTATTATTATTATTATTATTATTATTATTATTATTATTATTATTATTATTATTATTATTATTATTATTAGGAGTTATTAAGATCAGCTGTGGTCGATGAGTTGAAAGAGTATCACAAGTGTCGTATTCCTATTCCACCGACCAATCAGGTTAGAGACGCTCTGAAGAAGATGATGGAGGAGAGAGAACAGAAATCAAGTGAAGGAGGAGAGCCAGAGAAGAGAGAGCAGAAAGAAGGTTTGTTTTAATATACCGTACACATCCTGTTGTAAGACCTGTCTGATCATGAAACATGCTTTGTTGAAAACTAATGAAAGTTTAACCCTTTGAAAGTTTCCATTCAACTACACGTACATTGATACAGTAAAAGTAAAGCAATTGATATTTCTCCGTCTCTCTCCCTCAGTGGCAGCTGTCAAGAAGAAAAGGTTGGATGAAAGAAAGAGACGAACTCCTGATCATCAGATCCATGGACCAGAGAAACCAAAAAAGAAACAAAAAGTGTATTCTCCTTTAACGGACAGTGACCGTACGGCACTAGAGCACTGGAACAAACTAGCGGTGGCTGTTTCTAACACGACTAAAAAGAAAGGACAGGAGACAGAGGAAATACTCTCACTACAGCAGCAACAAGAACTACTGATAAAGCAACAAGCTGAACAACTTGAGAAGCAACAGAAACAAATGGTGGAGCAGCAGCGACGGATACAGCAACAGTCAGAGCAGATTAGGCAGTTGGTACATCATCAAAAGGTTTTGATACGCGAGTGCAAGGCAGCTGGAATTAAAATACCTCTTAGTACTCCAAACCCGAGCCCACTCTCTCAAGCAGGTCTAGTTTCTTCTCCTTTGACTAATGCAAGTATAACAACTGTGAAACTCACACCTCCTGTTCAGGCACACCCACTACCTATAGTGAAGCCACACCCATTTCCTGTTCAACCACACCCACCTCCATTTGACCCAGGGTCTTTGATCAGGACTGACGTACCAGTATCTCCTGTTAATAACTCAACAACATCAAACTCTCAATCATCATCAGTTCCTCCTGCAACAGCCACCCACGCAATTAATTATCAAAATCAGCCACCAGTAGTAGCTCCACCTCCAACAGTAGCTCCACCCACTGCAATAGCTCCGCCCACTTCCTCCATCACTTATCCCCTACCTGTCCCATCTTATTCCACGATGCTCCCAACTGATAGCTACCCACCTCACGGACCTCCTCTCCCTCTTCCTCAATCTCCCCCAGACTTTATGTCCTCTTATATTCCAGTACTGCCAGCCCAGCCTTCAGTACCTCCTGATCGCTCTGTCCCTTACTGTGGACCTCCGGCTGAGTTCTTCTCTCCTCTTACATCTAAAGAACTTGTTGAATTGACATCGCAGGAAATGAGAAAACTCTCTCCTTATATCCCACAGTCCATTGATTCTTTTGTCCCTCCGCTACAAGAGGACCTGGAGAAGATGTTTAATGTTCCCCCAGGGGGCACTTTTGGTGGGGGCTATGGGGTTGGTATTTCTGATGATGAACTAACTATAATGGTACCAGATAATAAAATGTAAGTCTATTAATAGTTATCATAATCTATTAATAGTAACATGATCTATTAATAGTAACAATAATTTATTAATAGTAACATGATCTATGAATAGTAACAATAATCTATTAATAGTAACATGATCTATTAATAGTAGCAATAATCTATGAATAGTAACAATAATCTATTAATAGTAACAATAATCTATTAATAGTAACAATAATCTATTAATAGTAACAATAATCTATTAATAGTAACATAATCTATTAATAGTAAAAATATCTGTTAATAATAGTGTTTACTTATCCCCCATACAGTGAGGGTCCTCCTTCAGCTAGTTTACTGCAGGAATGGCTACAGGATATTGATGATATTGATTCTCAAGGACTTCAGGCACTCCAGCAAGAAATGGAGTTTGGAGCTTCTGAAATGTTCTTCAGGGAACTTGAGAAATTATAGCAAGAGGGAGGAGTTAATGTTGGTTAATTATTTATCACTGCAAGACATGTGTATTTAATCCATTTTTGATTTTTATACATTTTAAATGATTAATTATTAACAAAAAATGATGATGAATTACTAAACAATACTGTGATTGAGCAAAATGTAATTATTATTATGAGAAACTAAAAAATGATACAAAATTACAAAATACGTTCAAAATTGTTTCTTCTCAAGATAATTAATGAACTCATCACACATCCGACTGCTCTCAGAAAACTTCAAACTGTCCAATAACTTCTGATTGGTCGCTGCCTCGTCCAGTGTAGCTTTCCTCCACTCGTACAACATCTGAATCACCTGCTCACTGATACTGTGAGGATTCTCTCTCTCAATGTGAGTCAACTGGTACTCTGGTACCCCCAAGTGTCGACCCATGAACTTCCACTCGGCCACTCTCTGGGCTAACCACAGGAACGTGGACTGGTCTACTTCCTGGCTAGCGGTTAGAGAAGAAAGGATTGTGACTCGATTTGCAGGAGGTTGAGTAGGTATGGGAAGGATAGGTACACTTGGTGGTGGTACTGGTACACTGGTTGGTGGTACAGTGGTCGCTGGTAGAGTAAGAGAGACAGCAATATAACCTTCTTTAAGTGTCAGGAGCTCATCAATCATTTCATCTAAAATAAAAATGTAATAAAAATTTGGGGTAATTTCAGAACCATTTTTTGGAAAAACCATGGGTATTTTTCAGACTTTTGGTGTTTTCTTAAAATGGCCATAACTTTAAAAATTTGAAGTCAGAATCACTTCAAACTTGCTACACAGCATAAGGACATCAATATGTATCAGAAAATGTAATAAAAATTTGGGGTGATTCTGGAGCCATTTTTTGGAAAAAACCATGGGCTATAGCCTTGGGTATTTTTCAGAATTTTGGCGTTTTCTTAAAATGGCCGTAACTCAAAAAATTGAAGTCCGAATCACCTCGAACTTTCTACACAGCATAAGGACATCAATATGTATCAGAAAATGTAATAAAAATTTGGGGTGATTCCGGAGCCATTTTTTGGAAAAAACCATGGGCTATAGCCTTGGGTATTTTTCAGAATTTTGGCATTTTCTTAAAATGGCTGTAACTCAAAAAATTGAAGTCCGAATCACCTCGAACTTTCTACACAGCATAAGGACATCAATATGTATCAGAAAATGTAATAAAAATTTGGGGTGATTCCGAAGCCATTTTTTGGAAAAAAACCATGGACTATAGCCTTGGGTATTTTTCAGAATTTTGACGTTTTCTTAAAATGGCCATAACTTGAAAAATTGAAGTCGGAATCAGCTCAAACTTTCTACACAGCATAAGTACATCAATATGTATCAGAAAATGTAATAAAAATTTGGGGTGATTTCGGAGCCATTTTTTGGAAAAACCATGGGCTATAGCCTTGGGTATTTTTTAGAATTTTGACATTATTTAAATGGCCGTAACTTAAAGAATCAAAGTCAGAATCACCTCAAACTTTCTACACAGCATAAGGACATTAATATTCTAATTAATGAATATTAATTAGATTAATATTCATTATTAATGAACTGCTTACCGGTCACTGTCTCTTTTACAGAAGTGGGCGTGACTGGAACTGGTAAACGAGAAATATGAAACACTAAAGTATCATACGCTGATCGAACTCGTTGTGAATCAAAAGTACCCACAGGAGGCCCAGGGTCTCTCGTTAAATCATAAATACTACCGTCAGAAAAAAACTTGGGAACCGACTCAACATTAGGAACTGACGAGAACAAAACAGGGAAAAACCTCAAGGAACGTTTAGCTTCAGAACCTTGAAGACCTCTGACTATTGAACACATTAACTGAGCTGCTATTACGTATCTCTCCGGTAGAGAAGCAGCTGGTGTGTCATTGAATGCTGAGCACATTAAAGGTGAACATACCAACACAATGTTCCTACAAGAGAGGACATGAGTGCTGTACCAGTTATACCAGCTGCTGTTCTCCTGGGGTTCAGGGGCGTCAAGGAATACGTCAAAACCAAGTGATGTAAGCCACGCCCCTAACGGCCATATAGGGCTAGACTCCAAGCCACGCCCACAAGAGTCAGAGGCATAAATTATAAAGACTCTGCGGCCACAGCCGGGCGTGGCATCAGGCTTAGGGAGTGGAGCACTACCTAATGAATTAATTAATAATAATTAATTGATTATTAATTAATAGCTAACTGTGTTTTTTGATAACATTGCAGCAATAAGTAGACCAGGCTTGAACATCATTGACAGTTGGAATCGAAGGATCTATAATACGTAATAATTAGTGATAAATGTAGTTCTAAAATATATTACCGTTAGCTCCAATGGCCAGTTCATCAGTCAGTGTCGTCCATATCACTGGTCTTTGAACAATATGGCTACTCGTTAAACACACCTTCAATCCAGCCATCACTAGCAGGGCTGGGAGCGTTAAACAGTGAGAAAACTCTTCGTAAATTTGAGCAAACTCGAGCGTAAAAACCCCCGGGACCTCGTCAGGTCTTGCAGTCTGTCCCGTCAAACAAATAAGAACGTCGTTAGGAAGTGGGTGGAGCTTCTCCATGAGAGTATCCATGACAACGGCGATGTTTGGAGGCGGGGTAGTCTCAAATAAACAGTCGAATATGAATATGGTTGGTTTACCATGACCCGAGGAATGGTGACATATTGATGATATTATTTCAACAAACGGAACAACCTGGTTCGACTTTGTAAGGATGCCCTCTTGAGAGCCCCGCCCACTGTATATTGCGCAATAACACGAGTATCGAGATAAATTCCTCAACATGTCAGCATCAAAATGCATCAAGAGAACACGCTGGAACTGGTCCTTTGTAAAACCAGCTGTTCTTGTATCAGAGCTACCGCCTTGAGTCATGAATGGTGTCATTACTTCAATGACTCCAACATCAGTTAAGGATTCTTCTAAATAACTGAGTCTAGCTCCAACTGTTTCCTCTTTCCTTGTGAGATCGAGTGGCTCATTTCCGAGTAAAATGGCGTATCCTTTCTTCTCTTTACTAAGTTCTTGATACTTGGTCTTAAGGTCGTCTTCTTGACTGCTGTGAGAATTCCCCATTTTAGTTGAGGGGCGTGGTCAACAAGGAGTTTAAGGGGAGTGGCTCCTTATTTTTGCAAGAAAGTTTTATCATAATTGTTAGATCTATTAACTAAATAATTTATAATTTATGATGTTCTACTCTTGCTATTATTTATTGCAATGTTATTTCTTTGTAAAGCCAAAGCTTCCTTGTATCTCTCTCGTCTCTTCATTTTATACTCTTCAATTCTTTCCTTTTCTTTCTCTTCATCAGAAAGCTCATTCTCCCAGCGAAGAGTCACTACTCTGACCTTTCCTTCTTTGGTCTGCATCGGCTCCTCACTGGATGCATCAGTGCAGCTGTCAGTGGACTCTTTTAAAAGTGGAGGGAGTGACAAAGGAGAACTGGGACTGGTGTTGCTTGCTGGAGGAGATTTAGTAAATTCCTGTGAAGAAGAAGAAGGTGGTGTTGAGTTGTTTGTCTCAGTCTCCATTGAAACTGATTTTATTGTAAAAGAGACAGAGGAAGATGTCATTGCATCTGATGATGAGAGGACTTCAACTCTATGAAAACAGATAAACTTCAATAGCTAGTAGACTGTCAAGTTCATCCTTACTTCCTGTGCTTTTGGTGTGGCCTGTGATTCTCAAAGCTTGAGCTACTGGTACTAGTGCTGGTTTGATCTTCCAACTTGCATACAGTGAGAGCAGATGAAAGGGGCAGTAGAGGCTTGTCATCTTGCACTGGTTTGTCTCTAGGACCCTTTACTGCTATCTTAAGCTTATCATTCTCTTTCTTGGTCTGTTTCTTCCTTTTCTTTCCAGCTGGTTTGCTCCAGACAGGCTGAGGTTGTTTCTCCATTTTCAGCCCCACCCTAATGCGTGGGTGTACCTACATTTGTAGGTGTGGCTGATAGCGTTTTATGAACATGGCGTCTCTAGGGAACATCATTAAAGAGGGAAAAGAAGGAATAGGAGGCGAAGGAGTTGATTGCCAAGTACTTGAGGACGAGGAATTTGAGCTGGTTTGTCACGTGACTGATTTGGCTACCTTAGAATCAGGTAGAATAGTGAAAAAATTAAGAAAATTAAGTGTTTAAAGCATTCATATAAGCAATTATTAAAGCTAGTTGCATAATCATTGTTAATTATTATTATTATTATTGGGATTATTTTTATTGCAGAATTGTCTGAAGTTAGGAAGCATGTTGCAGTTCAAAGGAACGCCGGTGTCTATCAGCCGTACAAGGTCTTTGGTAGAGGCTCAACTTCAGTTCAAATATCGGACATAGCGAGGGGACTCTGGTGTGAGCAGCAGGTGGAGTATGGACACCTTTATCCGTATCTTAGGAGGACTGAAGGGTGGAGGAGAGTGCAGGCTGAAAAGAGGACAGTCATACAGCAAAGAACACCAGTAATGAAAGCTGGTTCTCATATACACTATAAGAAAGGTGAGATTTTGAAAAGCTTTTAAAATTCGTAAAAAATCCAATTTTGATCCGAATCAGTTCAAACTTGCTACACAACATAAGTACATGTATATGCATCAAAAAATGCAATAAAAATTGAGAACTCTCTACTTTTCAATTTTGGCAAAATTTGGCCTTAGACCATGTACTATAGTACAGGGACTTTTGTACTTTAGTGCATATCAGAAACATGTATATATCACATGCTGTTGACAGTTATTATTGCTATTGTTGTAACTACTATACTGTTAGGATATGTGGCATGAAGCATGTCATCACATCACCTTATCTATTGAAGACAGTCACTCGTGCCATTGTGTTCATTGTATAGTGCCAAATCATAGTGTCTTATAACTAAAGATTAAAATTATAATTTTTATTTTCATTTTAGAGATTGAGATTCATGATGTACCCATACAAGTTGTTGCACCAACAAGAGAAGACAAGTGGGCGGTAGATTTAATTAATACTTACATCAAACTAGCACAGATCAGTAGAGGAGGCATTGGAGCAGAAATAAAGATATACTGTGCATTTGAAGACACTGTTCTAGCAGGAATTATTGACCAGTTGCAGTACTGCAAAGAAGATCACTCTCTCATCCTAATGGAACATAAAACAAGAAAGAGTAACACTTTACCTCAAGAAGAACAAAAGAGAGGCCATTACCTCCAACTGATGCTCTACAAGTTCATTCTTGACTCATTTACAAGTGGAACTACTAATTACTGCAATGTAGCCAAGGCACTGGGTCTGAAGCTGTCACAAATATTGGGACCGGGCCCCATTGAACATGCCTACAATACTGGTCTATTACATAATGACCTCCTCCTTTCTCCTAATGGAGCATCCATGGGAGACATCTGTTCACAATCCAACAAGCCACAAACCTCATTTTCTCATAACTCAAGCTTCTCTTCCGATCCTACCAAAACAAACAGAGTC